GGGTATGTTTTGGGTTAATAAGATCTGGTTTAAGGGTCTGGTCACATAACATGAGCAGAAACAAAAAAAGATGGGGGAGGACACTGCTCTTAAAAGTCTGTAGAGACTTCAGTCAGGAACCCAACAAATACCAGTGTCCCAAGTGCTTCGTCAACATACAGGGGTTGGACAATGAAACTGAAACACTTCTCATTTTAGTGTGGGAGGTTTCATGGCTAAATTGGACCAGCCTGGTAGCCAATCTTCATTAATTGCACATTGAACCAATAAGAGCAGACTGTGAAGGTCCAATTAGCAAGGTAAAAGCACAGTTTTGCTCAAAATATTGCAATGCACACAACATTATGGGTGACATAGCAGAGTTCAAAAGAGGACAAATTGTTGGTGCACGTCTTGCTGGCGCATCTGTGACCAAGACAGCAAGTCTTTGTGACATATCAAGAGCCACGGTATCCAGGGTAATGTCAGCATACCACCAAGAAGGACAAACCACATCCAACAGGATCAACTGTGGACGCAAGAGGAAGCTGTCTGAAAGGGATGATCAGGTGCTAACACGGATTGTGTCCAAAAAACATAAAACCACGGCTGCCCAAATCACAGCAGAATTAAATGTGCACCTCAACTTTCCTGTTTCCACCAAAACTGTCCGTCGGGAGCTCCACAGGGTCAATATACATGGCCGGGCTGCTATAGCCAAACCTTTGGTCACTCGTGCCAATGCCAAACGTCGGTTTCAATGGTGCAAGGAGCGCAAATCTTGGGATTTGGACAATGTGAAACAGGTATTGTTCTCTGATGAGTCCGCCTTTACTGTTTTCCCCACATCCGGGAAAGTTACGGTGTGGAGAAGCCCCAAAGAAGTGTACCACCCAGACTGTTGCATGCCCAGAGTGAAGCATGGGGGATCAGTGATGGTTTGGGCTGCCATATCATGGCATTCCCTTGGCCCCATACTTGTGCTAGATGGGCGAGTCACTGCCAAGGACTACCGAACCATTCTGGAGGACCATGTGCATCCAATGGTTCAAACATTGTATCCTGAAGGAGGTGCCGTGTATCAGGATGAAAATGCACCAATACACACAGCAAGATGGTGAAAGATTGGTTTGATGAACATGAAAGTGAAGTTGAACATCTCCCATGGCCTGCACAGTCACCGGATCTCAATATTATTGAGCCACTTTGGGGTGTTTTGGAGGAGCGAGTCAGGAAACATTTTCCTCCACCAGCATCACGTTGTGACCTGGCCACTATCCTGCAAGAAGAATGGCTTAAAATCCCTCTGACCACTGTGCAGGACTTGTATATGTCATTCCCAAGACAAATTGACGCTGTATTGGCCGCAAAAGGAGGTCCTACACCATACTGATAAAGTGTTGTGGTCCAAAACCAGCTGTTTCAGTTTCATTGTCCAATCCTTGTATATTTATTCACACTGTGCTGCTCTTAGGATGCCCAAGGCCAGCATCACGACACATAAATAAGTCAAGAAGCTTGAAGGGGATTCCAAGATTTCTGATATATAATGGGGTCCTATCTAAATAATTAAAATAAGTTTAAGAAAGTTTGTTGGGTTTTTTTATGGAAAAACACAGCTACAGCTCTTCAGTTCACTCAGATCTCAACTGATCGAAGTGACTTCCATTGTGAGTAATGTAGACAGAGCACATTTGTTTAAAAGTTTAAAAATGGAGAAGGACAGTTTAAACGGAAGACAGACTTCATGTGGAATTATTGTCCTTTCTCCACTGGGAAAAGACTTGTATGCATCAGTAATGTTCTGTCCACACATATTGGGAAGCGACAATCAAAGCCACACACATCCACCCAGCCACACTTACACTTACACACACACAAACTGATTATAGTGGATGCTGTCGGTTGTCTGTGGATGCTGCCTCTTTTGGGTGATGGAAAGAAAGATGCTCAGTCAAATTTGGGCAAATGAAATATGTGTTCTTTTGGCTCAGGGTGGATAAGACAGCTTATGTAATCAACTCAGCAAGCAATGATAGCAACAAGTTCCACAATGGGCTCTGAGGTTGATCAGAGGGACATTCTGCATCTAAGGACTGAGTCAGAAAGACTGCGTAATGACACAACCATCAGGATGCTGATGACAGTGTGTTTGGGTGGTTAATCTTTGTTGGGCCATTGCTACATAACCAACAGGACCTGAGTTTAATGCTAACCTAGAAAAAACATTTGATTAGTAAAAAAAAGAAAGAGAAAAACAGTTCACATGCACTGACCTGTAGGTAGCTCCCTCTCTCATCCTCCTCACTCTCCCTCAGCTGGATAACATCGTCGTCCTCTTCTTCTTCCTCCAGCTCACTCTCTGTGCTCTCGCCTTTCACATGCATGCTCCTGTGCTCTTCCTCGCCTTTCACATGCACACTGAGGCGCTCCGACGAATGTGAGCTGTCATCGGATCCCTCTTTCTGAAGTCTGAGTCGAAAAAGGGGGGTTAAAGAGTTAAAAAGAATGTTGGGACAAGACACAGACCTCTATATGTAGGTAAAACGTTTAGAACAGCCGTACCTATTGATGCGCACTGACCCATCATCTTCCTGCATGTCATTGGTCTCAGTTAGCTCCTCCTCCGTCTCCTCTGGGTGAGTGGGTGGTGGGCGTGGAAGGTCTGCTCCCTTTGACAGCATCTACATACACATGAGAACACATTTACTACAAGGTGGCTGTTTTTGCGTGCATGTGCTCGTGTGATACCACAGACTTTGTAGTGTTTTTCTAGGAAGTGCTGGTGTTGCTGTTGGACAACCAGCTGCTGCAGGGCCTGTGGGGACTGGGGCAGGGGTGCGCTCTGCGTGCGAGCCAGCGGCCGATGGCGAGGCAATTTGTTGACCCCACGCATGCCCGTGGTCACGCCTCTCTCTGCGGTAACCAGTGGCGACTGATTGTAGATGGGCACTGGACGGGTGAAAGGTCACAGTGAGTGTGTGTGAAACTTGACTGAACAATGCTGTTTTTCAGTGCATGTGTTGGTGCCACCTAGCAAAGCAGTCTGCTGCCGAGCCTGCTCCAACAGAAGGACGTGCTGCAGCAATGAGGAATGGGCGGAATGAGAGGTGGGCGGCGGGGCTTCCACTTCATGTCCCACACCTGTGGGTGGGTACGTTTCAACACAGAAATGTGAACCACAGTGGAGAAAGAGGAATTGAGTGTAATGCTACAATGTCAACTGTAGGAGGCTCACCTGCTGGTAGGGAGGACGTGGATAGAAACTTCCCTGTTAGAGCACCACCCCCTCGCAAGGATTGGATAGCTTGATGCTCAGCCTCTTGCTGGTTTGACAGCTTCTGGGGGGGCTATGTATGGAATGTGGGTGGGGGATAATGACAAGGTTACCCATGGATAAAAGTTAAGTGGCTTTCCCCCAAAGATGAAAAATAAATGGTATTTTTGTTGTTTTTTGTTTCCTCTTTGTTTGGAGTTTAGAGTGACAAAATTGACAGTACTAGTCTAGTCTTATGACTGACCAAGGTGTAAAGCCACAAAGTGTCACTAACAGTAGAACCCCAAGTGTCACATGTCGATAAAGACATCCACTTACTATATTTATTCTTAAGGACCTGATGAGATGATATAAACAGTATTACAACACAGCTAGTAAAACAACACATGAACACACCGTGATGTGCGTGTTAGTAGGGAGGCCTAGAGAGATGTTTGGTAGGGACGGTGAGGTATAGAGACTCAGCGGACTCAACGTCCCATCAGCCCCCAAGGTCTGGTGAAGAGATCTCAGCTGCAGGCAGAGACAGAGGCAGATGGGTCAGAGGCAGTGGGGGACAAAGTACAGTTTCAGTTCTCAGTTCTCAGTTCTCAGTTTCATTACTTCATATACTCAATCCTGAAAAACCTTTTTTAACTGTTCTTTTTTTTGATGCTCTCAGGAGAATTGTGGGGATATTCCTGATACATTGGACAGGACAATAACTCCATATATATGATAATAATAACTGTAATAAATTATTAGTCCTATAAAGCTCATTCCAGACACTCCAAGATGCTTCAAAATTGAAATCATTATTTATCCACTACTCAGTCACATTTGGTATGGAAGTATCATTGTGTGCCTAAAAAGGTCCGTCCAGACCACCACAGTCACAATATCACATTCATTCGAATCCCCCACTGGGATTCGAACCAGCAAACCTCTGAATTCAGGGTTAATGCCTACGCACAAGAGGTTGCTCAATTAAGATAAATAAATAAAATACCTTAAAATAAATGTATTTTCTGAGTAAATAAAGCATGAACTTGAAATATTATACACACAGTTTACACTATAAAATTATAGCAGTGCAGATCTAACCTTGGATTGATGTCAGCATAATTAGCCATCTGAGGGTGCCCAGTGCACCTGTTCTCATCAGATAAAAAATCTTCCTTCTTTTTGTCAAATCAATAAGTTTGATGCTACGTTTCGCCACCTGCCATACAGGCAATTAATGAGTTATTTTACAGCGTGTTTTGGAACAAAAGACGCAAACTACTTTAACAAATATGACCAACAGAAGGTACCAGTAGCGAAAGCCTTCCAAGAAACTTAGTGGAGTAAAAGATATGATTTTCATTATTAAAATGCAGTGGAGTGAAAGTAAGTTTTTACAAAAGAATTCAACTCCAGCAAAGTACAAATTGTCAAAAACCTATGATAAATAACAGTAATCCAGTAAAATGTTACTGTCCACCTCTGGTTAGAGGCTCGGACACTAAACCAGAAATAACATTAAACCCCTGTGAAGAGGAAAATTCTAAAAAGAGAAAATAACAAAAAAGGGCTTGGGCTTCAATGGCCAACAGAGCTTGAGCTCTTAGTTCGGACAGAAGTAAAAAAGTTTACAATATGCAGTTTTGTTGTGTTTGTACCTCAGTTTGTATGTTAGGGACCGATCCTGTGTTGCCGTTGGCTATAGCCGTGTTGGAACTGTTGGGGCTGCTTGGACCCGAGCCTGGAGCGCTGCTACAGAGAGAGGAAACTGGACCCGAAAACACAGAGACACAGAGAGACATAATATGATGTGAACTGGTTTTCAGATCATGGACGTAAAGTCCTTCATGCCAAGCCAACAGCTGGAACGTCACTGCTGTATTTTCGCTCACCTGATATCTCGATGGCCCTCTTCTTGAAGGTGCTAATGACGGTTCCGTCTTTCCTGCGCAGGAGTGGAGAGCTGCGCCTCTCAGCCACCTTCTGCTTCAACCTCGAACGCACCTTCAAGTTAGGCTCGGAGACTGTCGGAGGCAGACAGAGGGGCACATGTTTAGGTTCATCAGGAATTTACCTCAGATGAGAGCAGAAAAATGTTATTTCTTTACACTTCGATTTCTCTTTAACTGCAGTGGCTTGTATTGTGTTGGTGGGGGTAGGGGTGTATCAGGGCTGCAGCCAAACACTGAAAACATTCAACTGAACACAACAGATTTGCAAATCAAGAACTCGAACTCGTTGTGATTATGTAAAGTCCTTAAACAGAGTGTCGTCTTCACTGCTTACATTTCCGCAGCACAACGCCTACCTCACACCACCTAACTAACGATGCATTTTGCTCTAAAACGGCTGATAGGAGAGAAACTGCAGACACCTCTTTTGCTTATGATTTTTTATGGAAATTTTTTTAAGTACTTTTTTGCAGAAGTGCCATTAAACTCCAACATTTCAGTGCAAATTATGCCCACCTGCACTTAAATACACGCAGCCCCCTGGCTGGTCAGAACATCGGCCTCATTGACTTCTATTGTCTGTCCCTTTAACTCCTAAGTTTGCTATTTTTTTGTTTCCTTTAACCATAGAAAGATCCATACAGTTTCTTTTAAATAAGGACTTTTCCCCATTGTTCAAGAATACTTATCAATTGGAGTTAGTTTGCAATGGGCTGCATTTTTTGTGGGTCATACTCCACACATTTTTCATCAAAATATGTTTTTTATCCATTTTTAAATTCTTGGTGGGGCACAAATGGATTTACAATAATAGACATATTTTGGTTGTGATGCACAATGTCTGTACATTCAGAAGTCATTGAAATTATTTTGATAGTACAGAGTTACACGATTGTGGTGATGCAACATGGTTCTATGCATCAGCAAAAAACAATCAGCAAGTCCTTTACATATATCACTAGGAATCAGTGGTGGACTGTCAGGGCCTGCAGGGCCTGCAAGGCCTTCTCTGCAGGCCTAAGAAAATATCTGAATCACAGACTGATGTTAATTATATTTTGTCCATGGAAACTTATTAAATATCTCTAAATAGTATGTCCGCTTCCTTTCATAGCTTTTCCCCTGGTTGCGCTGCTTCCAGACATGCATTTTCATATGAAAGCCTTTAACCAATCACATTTCAGCCACCATTTGTCGCTAGGCAGGATCAAAGTCAAAGATGTCTGCCAGGGGGCCTTCACAATCCGTTCTGCAGCCCCACCCCCAACAGAAAATACATGTCGAGTATACTGTTGCTTTAACCAATCAGAAATTAAGCTGGTGAGACCCGGGCCTTCTCGAAGGCCTTAGGCTACGTCACCGTATTCACGCCCGCTGATTGGATAGTCAGATAGCGTATCTGGCAAAGCTAGCAAACAAACCGAAATATATTTGTGTTTGTGTAATAGCTATTTTATGATTTGGTGGCAGATTTACTGTCAAGGCCATTTTCAAGATGGACTTTTCAAGAAAAGTAAGTGAGTAAAATGTTGTTTTTTTCCTAAATCGTATTGCGAGTTTATGAGGATATTATTGATGTTTTTTTTGTTTTTTTGCGGGGGGGGGGGGGCGCAGCTGTAGCTGCAGGAGTAGAAGACTTGTGCACCCCTGATCTTTATACTGTATTTTAGGCTTGTCCCGATCCGATATTCGGATTGTATCGGCCGGCATGAGAAAATGCCGATCCAGACTCGAGATCCATATTTTTAAAAGTCCGATCCCACACGACCATTAGCATCTCCTGACACACTGGTCCGTGTCCTAAACTTTAAGTTGTTATAAGAGTAAATCCCTGTTCAAAATGAGTCTGACAACTAAATAAGTAGATAAATAACTTTAAACTTTAATACAAAAAGCTTGATCGGGACATCCCTACTGTATTTCTACATAATAAGATGATTTCTATAACCATAACATAGTTATTGAGGGGTGAATTGATTCAGACGTAGCACTACTGAAGGCCTAGGTGTAAAATGCACGGTCCGCAACTGCTAGGAATGGAGGGGACCTTTGTCAACAGCCCCATAAGACATGCACCACATAACCTGCAGTTTCCAGGGGTTTGATTTCCCACCTGCAGGTAGACAGAAAGTCGACAACAAAGGGTGCGGCAACATATCATGACATGAGATTGAAGTTTGGTCTACGTATCAAGAATAAATGAAAGTTGGAAGATGAGAAACGCAGAGCTGTCTAAAAAGGATCCGGATCCAGGAGCATTTGGAAAGTTTTGTAAGGGCTAACCTAGTTTACCTGGATCAACTGATGTGCCCATTGTAGTTGTTTAAAATCTAATATTAGACAGCCGGGACCTAGATCAGGGGTGTCAAACTCCTGTCTTCGAGGGCCGCTGTCCTGCAGGTTTTAAACATTTTCCTGCTTCTGCACACCTGCACCTTATTAAATTGAATTTCTTCTGGACATTGTTGAGCTCTGCTAATGGCTCTTTGATGTGAAACAGGTGTGTTAAAACAGGGTTACCTCTAAAACCTCTCGTGGACTGGAGTTTGACATCCCTGACCTAGATGAATCGATTCCATCGTTTACGGTGCTTTTTTTGTCAGAGAATAACTATTAAGACTAAAAAAGTGCGGGCTGTTCTTTTTACACACAACAGGAAAGACATATGTGACTGTTTCTCATTCGATGCAAATAACATTTACAGACATATTTCTAGTATTTGTGTGTGTTTGTCGATTTCACTAACATGTTTTTTCATGAGCAAGTAAGAACCATTAAAAAGTCTGACAAACGTCTTCCTGTGTCCCTGCTATTGAAAAAGTCAAGCAAAAAGTAGAAATTCTAACCAAATTAATGTGTTAGTATGCCAATTGTCATTATTTTTATGTTCAGTGGGTTTAGGAGCATTGGCTTTCAAGTCAGGTGGCTGGTCATAGCTGATTCATTCTTACCTGTCTTGCGGAGGGGAAAGTCGTCTTTGCCCTCGTAGCTCCCCAGCAGCGGGGGAAGTTTGTAGGAGGGAGGTGTTCCGGGGGTGTTACTCTGTGGGGGGGAACTCTGCTCCAGTGAGGTGTGCTGCGCTCCCCTGCACACACACACATGCAGAAATGCTGGGTTAGGAAATAGCTACAAACCCTTTTTAGTACATTATGAGATTAATCTGAACTTTGACCTGGAGGAGCATGAACATCTCCGACCTAAGTGTCCAACATAAACTTCAAATACTAGGCAAAATAATCAGATGTAAATGCTTTGTCCGATCAAGTGTGACATTCTGAGCACTGATTTTTTCCCCAAATAATCAGAAGGGAGTATAACTCTTCCATGTCTCACTGTCCAATGATTGTAGCTGGTAAGCCAAGTTTTCAGGGGGCAGCTTCTAAAACTGAACCATCACCTTTTCTTTTGCTGTTCCAGAATACTGAAGCATTTCCTGCTCCTACTTCTAAAACAGGGAAGACAACATCCATGTGCCTGTTAGAAGTGATAATTTTGATCATTCAGAAACACATCAGTGTCCAAGGAGAAGAAAGAAGTCCATGAAATGTGTTAAAAGTAAAACAAATTTATTAAAGGTCTCCACATTTTCTTCTCACCAATAATATGATAGAGCTTGATCTTGGCTTCCTTTTTGAGAACTACTTTAAGAGCTTTTTGGTAAATTGTAATCGGTCAATCCTGTGTCTGCAGCTTAGTAGTGTTTAGCCTCTAGCAGTGTAGCTTTTGTGTTTCTGTTCATGAAGACTTCATGCTTCCTAAAGGTTGCTCAAGTTTTGTTGGACCGGCCATTTACAGCTGTCCATTTGTGATTTCAGGACTTTCAGTACATTTTGGTCATCCAAAGGTTTGATCCCAGTCTGTCAAATGGCTTTGATCTACTTTTCAACGTCATAATAGCTTTCTGGTCTTTTCAGTGGCAGTTACTTCAATTAAGTGCATTGCAGAAAGAAGCCAAGTTATCGCATTTCTGTTTCATCAAGGACTGAAACACGTCTCAGGTATCACAGACAGCTGGAAGCCAACTGTCCCAAACATAATGGAGTGCCAAAATGAGGGGTTAATTTCTCATTGGTGGAACTCAAATAAATGAAAGTAACTTTAAATTAAAGTCTAGATTTTGCACTTTAATACCATTTAAATAGCATTTGTCTGAGGGAGATGCACATGCTCCTCCAGCTACCATAGTCCACAGTTTTTCATCAGACATTCTTTCAACTGAGGAAGAGAATCAAGAAGAATCTAATAAGGAAAAATCAGAAACTGATTGGTGTTACACAAAACAAACACGGTTAAAACTACTGGGGAAGTTGAGTGTTGAACCCTTTATCATTTCTTCAAATACACAGGAAGTAGGCAGTGTGGACTGGTTATCAAATCAAATCTGGGCTTCGATCAAATGTTCCCAATCACACATGCAGGTGCAGGTGGTATCCTCACCAGCACTTTGGAGAGAAGGTATGGTTCTGTCCACTGGGACCCGGCTCTTTCTTACTAAGAAGGAACTCCTGCAGCTTCAGCTTCACCTCTGTGCTCGCAATGGCACCTTCCAGAACAAAGACACATTCAGACAGCCGTCAGAGGTTTTTTGCCTTTGAGTCAAAGCTTTAAAAACCTGTACTGTGCCGGGAGGAAAACTTACTCTCTTTCCCCTTTTCCTTGTTCCTGAGCAGAAGAAGCTGCTGCTCCAGTCGCTGTTTCTCCTGTTCTTCATGTCTTTGCTGCTCTAGTTTCATCTTCTGCTCCAGCTCCTGCTGCCGTTTGGCTACCAGCAGCTCCTGCTGCTGCTAACACACACATGTTCACACTCAGGTTACAGAGTTTTTCTGTGACTGACAAAAGTGGCATTAGTTCCCTGTGATTTCAGCTACCTTTAAATGCTCCTGCAGCTGGACTTCGTGTTGTCTTGTAAGCACTTCGTGTTTTTTTTGAAATTCTGCAAACAGCAGCTGCTTTTGGAGTTCCTGTTGCTGTTTGAGGAGCACCAGCTCCTGCTGAAGCTGCTGCTCTCTCAGGGCTGTGTCCACCACCATGCCCCCGGACAAAGATCCAACCCTGGGCTCTGTTCTTAGATCCACGGGCCCTCCCCCTCCTCCTTCTCCAGAAGCCCCACCTGGAAGTATATTAAACACTTTCAACAAGTTTTGATATTTCTCTTCCTGTCATCATATCCCTTATTACCATCTCTCTTTTTAACAATAATAGATTTTACAAATCCTCTCTTCTTAAAACCCATTTAAAAAAAACCCAACCCAACCCCGAACACCACAAACGCACATCCTCAGACAGCAGACAGCTGTAACTGGGATATTTCACTTCTCATTAGTTAAGGTAGTTAGTACCAGTGATGGGCCTCTCTAAACAGAGACGTTTCAAAGTTTAACTGAAGTATGGGAATCCCAGAAAACCGGCGGGGAATCGGATTTCAGTCTATCTCAGCATCAGCTCGTAAAAAAAAAAAAGATAATTATGGGTGTCCAGAATAACAATGGGAATCTTTGAATATGTTGCCCCATCACTACTGTGCAGCTGTAATTTGTTGCAAAACAGAAAAAGTATTTTTAGTGGACTCTCTCTACTCACCACCTTCTCCGCCTCCTCCTCTCTGCTCACTTGCTGTTCCTGCCGGGCTCTGCATGCTGGAGGGGAGGCTGCTCTTTACCTCCATGACTGTGGTGGGGGGAGAGAGAGGGAGAGAGAGAGAGAGAGATAGAGAGAGAGAGAGAGAGAGAGAGAGAGAGAGAGAGAGAGCGAGAGGGAGAAAATGACAGATTGATTAGCCAGTCGAGTGTTGTAGGGGACACCACGGATCATTACATCACTCAGTGAACTCACTCTCAGCTTTCATTTCATTCAGACCAGCCACGGTAGTGTTGTTGAAATCTAGGGACACAGTGTCCTGCCTGCTAAAAATAGCCACTAGCCTAACATTAGGCCGCCACTGGACAGTACTGATTTACAGTGTTACCTTGACAATCGTCTAGCCTATGTTTAGCCAGGCTGGGCTAAAAGACACAGTGCGGTATGTTAGCATGTTCTATTAATAGACTCAAACTCACAGGGGGATGAGGCGTGAATAAAGAGAACCAGAAAACTAGCCATTTCACGGCAGTGGAGATCGCGATGAGAGACCTGAGACACCTACACCACTTCGACCCTACCACTCTGACAGATTAATATCGATTCCCAGTGGAGATGATGAGTCACCCTGTGAAATTTCATACATGGGAGCTCATCATTCCTGTTGGGTCTGTGCTCAGAACTAGAACTTTAACCAATTATGTGAAGTGAGTGGAAGAAAAAAAATCCTGTAGGGATTGTAAATATTGTAGTGTGTCCAAAGTCAGATTTTTACCATTTTAGCCCAGCCAAAGCCATGAGGATTTCTGTGATGGGGCCCTCTTGGACACATTTAGCTGTTTTTTCCATGTGTGTATTTTCATTGACTTTCTAAGAAACGCCTTCTGTAAAGCCTCTGTAACGATAGGCTTATTAGCTGTGGGCCTTTCACTGAACACAGTGTGGGGGCTGAGAAACACCAGACATCGGGTGACGTGGGTTTCCCAATGGCCCTGATGATACCGGAGATCAAATCTGCACATATCCTGCTCATATATGACCCACAAGATGCATCTTTTTAACTTTTCTTTAAACTTTCTCGTCAGCTGGAAGAGCATCGTTTGAATGTGTATGTGAAATAAGTAAGGAGGTTATTGCATTCTGCTTCCACCTTTTAAAGTGCCCTTCAGCAGGGCAGTGATCCTGACCTTCGTCCACCCTTTGACGACTGTACTCTCTTGTCCTCGACTGACTCCTGGTGTGATTAGGCTACTTCCTGGAAAAGCAAGCCACGCTGTAACATGCTGACACGTCAGGATCTTTCCTACCTGCTGGCCAGGCAGGAAATTCAATTAGGTCTTACTGACAGCTGAGTCTGACCTTTGGCTTTTGCCAGGTGCTTCGATTGGTCATTTCCTCATTCTCGGATGCACTCTTTTGGCCTCTTTCTCCAACATGGGTTCTAAGCCAATCAAACATCAACATCCACAATAATGCCAAGCCGGTTAGCTCTGTCCAAGAGGATTGAGACAGGTTTGGCCTGAGACGATGACACAGATAATTAAAAGTGTGTGCTGAGCTGCTCTACAAAGATGGATATACGAATACAAACAGGAGTCGGTTTCGTTGCTGCACTGAGGAAACATTTTGAAACAGCCAAAAAACTTTGAGCCGAAGATAAACAAGGACCGTGTGTGAACTATGTGCACATGTGTGCAGCCTCTTATATCTAAATTACCTAAACAAATATCCTGGCGTTTTACTGTGACGCACGTGTCTCCCCTTCCACTACCACACACGCTGTCTCTGTGAGTGTGTGTGTACGTGAGAGACTGGTCTGCAAGTGTGTGTTCAACAGTCCGCTTGGCAGGAGAGCAGCATTCCACAGCAGCCAGCGTCTGACGTCAAACCGAGGACATTTATAGTCTGGTAAACACACACACACACACACACTAACACACAGTCTGACAAAGAAGCAAGACTAAGACATTTCAGTTAGTCCTACCAGGTTCCAACTGTACACCTCTCACGGCAGTCGGTCACACACCCACACACTAGTCTGTGTGATGTTTAATAGGATACTGAAACATGAAAAGGGAAAACCAAACAACATTGTGATTATACATAAGAAAGATCAGAAAAGATGCCTAAATACTGCAGTCTGGCTACATGTTTACACTCTTCAAGCTCATTGGCATTTCCACATCTGTAGAATGGTCTCTGGAAAGTTTGTCAACTGACGAATCCTGCAGAGTCTAAACTCACAGAAAGTCAGCGTAAATTTGTAACCAACCTTCCCCTTTTTAAAAAAAGAAAATCTAATAGCAATATTTGACTCAATGCACCAAGTCGATCAACCCACAGGTTGAACCGTAACACTGGTCTGAGGCTGCTGTAATGATTCAAGTGAACAAATGGTAACTTCCAAAACAGAGATAGAGGGTGCATTAGAGGGGTAAGACTCAGAAGAAAGAGTAGTAAGTAGTTTGACTCCCAGCTTCCCTGTCGAAGCAATCTTGGACAAAACAAGACACTGAACCCTGTGGTTCTCTACCTATCGGTGTACGAGTGTGTAAGACAATGGGTGTATGCAGTCTCATATCACTTTGAGTTGTCAGTTAGACTAGAAAAAGCACCAAACAAGTAGAGTCTATTTACTATTTCACCATGTTCCTCTTGCCCGAGGAAGAAACTCCTGCATGTGTGGAAAAAGTTTGCCTATGCACCCTGGGGTTCTGAGCTGCTTCACACAATGAGCTGCCCCTCTTAGTACACTTGTATTGTTTGTAAAGGGATTACTAAAAAGTAATACAACCTACTTTTCAATCCAATTACCTGTGCGCAAAAACGCAACTGCCTTCTTGGTAAATGAAAAAAAACAAAAACAACAATTCTTAGATAAATTGTGGGAGTCTTAGTCATCACATACACCGGGTGTTCTCCTCTCTGTGACCCAAGCTAAACACCATAGTCAAAAGTTTAGAAATAAGGGGGAAACAATTCATAAATTCAAGCATCCATCCATCCATCCATTCTCCTCCGCTTATCCGGGGTCGGGTCGCGGGGGCAGCAGCCGGAGCATGGAAATCCAGACTTCCCTCTCCCCGGCCACTTCAGCCAGCTCCTCCGGGGGGATCCCGAGGCGTTCCCAGGCCAGCCGGGACACATAGTCCCTCCAGCGGGTCCTGGGTCTTCCTCTGGGCCTTCTCCCGGTGGGACGAGCCCGGAACACCTCCCCAGGGAGGCGACCAGGAGGCTTCCTGATCAGATGCCCGAGCCACCTCAACTGGCTCCTCTCCACGTGGAGGAGCAGCGGCTCTACTCAGAGCCCCTCCCGGATGGCCGAGCTTCTCACCCTATCTCTAAGGGAGAGCGCAGCCACCCTGCGGAGGAAACTCATTTCGGTCGCTTGTATCCGCGATCTCGTTCTTTCGGTCACTACCCAAAGCTCGTGACCATAGACGAGGGTGGGAACGTAGATCGACCGATAAATTGAAAGCTTCGCCTTTAGGCTCAGCTCTCTCTTCATCACGACAGACCGGTACAGCGCCCGCATTACTGCAGACGCTGCACCGATCCATTAGCGAACAAGACCCCGAGATACTTGAACTCCTCCACTTGGGGAAGGACGTCCGCTCCGACCCGGAGAAGTCACTCTACCCTTTTCGAGTGAGAGACCATGGTCTCGGACTTGGAGGCACTGATCCTCATCCCAGCCGCTTCGCACTCGGCTGCGAATCGCTCCAGCGAGAGCTGTAGGTCCCGACTTGATGGAGCCAACAGGACCACATCATCTGCAAAAAGCAGAGATGCGATCCTAAGGCCACCAAGACTGACACCCTCAACACCTCGGCTGCGCCTAGAAATCCTGTCCATAAAAGTTATGAACAGGACCAGACACATAGGGCAACCTTGGCGGAGTCCAACTCCCACCGGAAACAAGTCCGACTTACTACCGGCAATGCGAACCAGACTCTGACTCCGGTCGTACAGGGACCGAACAGCCCATAACAGAGGGCCAGGTACCCCATACTCCCGGAGCACCCCCCACAGGATACCCCGAGGGACACGGTCGAACGCCTTCTCCAAGTCCACAAAACACATGTGGACTGGTTGAGCGAACTCCCATGCACCCTCCAGGACCCCGCTGAGGGTATAGAGCTGGTCCAGCGTTCCACGGCCAGGACGAAAACCACCCTGCTCCTCCTCTATCCGAGGCTCGACTATCCGACGGACCCTCCTCTCCAGAACGCTGAATAGACCTTCCCAGGGAGGCTTAAGAGTGTGATCCCCCTGTAGTTGGAACACACCCTTCGGTCGGTCCCCCTTTTTAAATAGGGGGACCACCACCCCAGTCTGCCAATCCAGCGGGACTGCCCCTGATGTCCACGCGATGTTGCAGAGTCTCGTTAGCCAACGCAGCCCCACAACATCCAAAGCCTTTAGGAACTCCGGCCGAATCTCATCCACCCCCGGGGCCTTGCCACCGCGGAGCTTTTTGACTGCCTCGGTGACTTCAGCCCCGGAGATTAGAGATTCCAGCTCCGGATCCCCAGGCTCTGCCCCTCCAACGGAGGACGCGCCAGTGGGATTGAGGAAGTCCTCGAAGTACTCCGCCCACCGACCCACAACGTCACGTGTTGAGGTCAACAGCACACCATCCCCACTGTAAACAGTGTTGGTGGGGCACTGCTTCCCCCCCCTGAGACGCCGGATGGTGGACCAGAATCGCCTCGAGGCCGTACGGAAGTATTTTTCCATGGCCTCTCCAAACTCCTCCCACGCCCGGGTTTTTGCCTCGGCGACCAACTGAGCCGCACGTCGCTAGGACTGCTGATACCCATCGGCTGCCTCCGGAGTCCCACAGGCCAAAAAGGCCCGATGGGATTCTTTCTTCAGCCTGACGGGGGTTGCCGCCACGACAGGCAAAAAAGCATATATTCTATTCAAGCATAGAATAAGGAAATTGTATTTTAATTGGGATGATTATAAATAATTAATTGCAGAATGTGTTGATAATTTGTAGTTCTAATTATACTTGTGTTTTTTCACTTTTTGTCTTTTCCACACTGTCATGAGAGAGATTTTTAGAGTGTTACTGTAGAAAATTAAGCGCAGAAAGAAGAATTTCAAATAAGAAATGTTTGATTAAAATGTTTCCAAATTATTTGGTTCTGAATAAATGATGTTGTAGAATCCAATATGTTGCCAGCAGATATATCAGTATATTAGTACGTTATTAGGCCCAGTCCTAAATGTTACACAACAATTTGCCATATCCCTGACTTCTTTGAGAATTTCTCATGTTCCTGTTTTAAATAGTCAAAGACCTTCCTAATAGGTCAGGGGGGCCAATCCGTATGCGGCTCTTTATCTGGTTCCATGCAGCTCTTACGTTCAAATCTTAGTTTCGCTTTTGCTTGAGTTCAATACAGTATTTTCGTCAAACACGTATGTGCGTTGAATGAAAATACCTTAAAGTTTCCCAGCAGGAGCTCAATTATCTTTCTGAAATGAGTAAACGTTTTGTGTCAAGATGATAACAGGATGAATGTAATGGCAAGCCATTCTGTATCATGTGCCAGAAGTCCCACAAAGTAACATGAATAGTAAATGGAAAAAGGAATTGTAAATGATTATATTTTGTATGTGGACTTCATAAAACTGAGAATATGTCTGTGTGAAACAGTGCACATAATGTTCATTGTTGAAAAATGACTGGTCTGTGGTCTTTGTACTAGAGTCGATTTCTGTCATTGTCACGTCAGTGTGTGACATTTACAATAAATCTGGCTGAGCAAAGGCGTGTGTGTGTGAGGAAGGGATGGGGTGATGGTCATGTGTACCTATGTGTATGATGTGGCTCTGCAGTAACACTTTAATAGGTGCTCAACCAAACAAGTCTGTAGTATTCAGATATAATTCCTTCTAAAAATATATATACTGTATATATAAATGCAACCCACCAACATGCAAATCAAGTCAATGATTTGCAAGTTTGGGTGTTATGTTGATTGTTGTTCTGATTGGGGGCATGATGTAATCTTGCACTTATTGTTATTGCTTGTTGAATACACAGCAGGACCAGCACAAACCTGGTCAGTATTTGATGCCAACATACTGCTAGATACAAAGTATTTACTGTCGGGTTTGTAGCTTCATTACAGAGACCAGTAAAAGGAAATAATAAAGAAATTCACAATCGTTTTAAAAGTCACACACACACAAAAGCCAAAACGCAGTAAGACACAAACAAAACTATATTTGCTTATGTCGGGGATCAGATTGGGACATACTACACCTTTACCATGTGATGTTACAGGTAAGACTGCCGTCTCAATAAAGTAGGTAATCCAAAGCTCATTCATCCATCAAGCTAACATGTTCAGATGTTGCCAAGGTATTTGTAAACGGTGCATGTTGAAACACTACAAACAGAAAAGCTATATGCATTCACTTTTCATTTCCCTGTCACTTCAGTTTCACATTGCTGCTACATTTGCAGCTGCAGGGAGGTATTTCTGGAAGCCAATATTCCTTTTTTTCTCTTCATTTTCTGTCTTGTTTGTTCTGCGTTGCTAAAAGAAGAGAAAAAGAGGCATCATGACATCAGCAGTGCGAAACACTCAATGCAGAAAGAGAGAGAGAGAGAATGAGAACAAGAAAAGACAGATCAGGAGGGACTGTGTGGTAAAAATAGTATTATAATAGCAGTGTACTTTAGGCAAATTAGAAGCTTAGACAGGGACAGTAGCATGTGTGGTGTTACTATAGAGAGATAACAGTTGGCTAAGTATTATGTATTGGTTGGCTGTCGGTCATCGAAAGTGCAGGTAGTCTGAAGAGTTAAATGGTTAAGGGCCTGCTGCAGAGTTTTATCAGTTTTCACAGATGAAAAAAAAAATCGTATTACTTTTAATATAAAATCAAGACTATACATGGTTGTAAATATGAGTGCCAGCTAACATTTACAAATATTAAACATTACAACCATTACATATACAAAATATCACTGCTCATATTTAGAGTCCTACCTTTAAAAAACTCTTGTGTTTGTATGTACACAGCCCTAATCTCTTGGGTTTGTCTCTACACCCGATTATGGCTCAGGAGTTGAAACGGCCATCAGCCAATCAAGAGGGTGGTGCTTTCATCCCTATTTTAATTAGCTCACATGTCCTTGGACCCTGAATCCAAAGGGGCACGAACTCTGTAGATGTAAAGCGCTTTGACTGGTTTGACGCTATTTGAGAACCAGGATCTAAATATGGTCTGCTTTAACTGAATTCCATCAACAGCAGGCAGCAGTTTAAAGGTTATAAGTCATATTTAATTTGGCAAAAAAAACAACCTTAACATGATCGGGTGAACAATGTAGAGCATTAAACATATTTCCCCATGGCATAATCAGGCACCAAAACAGAGAAGTAACTCTGTTGAAATGTAACAAACTGTATATCCCCCCTTATCCATCTTCTAAAGCCTCTTTATCCTGCTTTGGGTTGCAGGGGTCCTGAAGCCTATCTTAATCATCGCAGGGGGAGGGCAGTAACATCTTGGTCAGGTCACCAGTTCATCACAGGGCCAACGACAAAACCAGATATCACTCGGCATACAAGACCAATTCAGAATCCCCTATCAAAATAATGGGGCTCCCCATAACATTAATGTTCCATCCCAGCAAAGTAGCTTTGGGTTAACACTCCCATTCTTTATGTGGTAGCCTTTTCTATTAGATTCTTTATTTTCTTGCATCCTGTCCCTGTTGCTTAATGTGGAAGACGGAAATTGCTGCTCAGAGGGGGTGAACAAGAAGAGGGGAAGGTATACTGTCCACTTATTTGGCATAAATGCAACGATTGGCTGACCTTTTTACAGTCTTGTGACAAATCCCCCCTTCCCTCAGCTTACACAAATTCATTTGTAGCCGTCAGGATGTGGAGAGAATGTCAACAAATCCCACTAAAAGGAAATTTAGAGAAGATAAAACAGGAAAGGGCATTAAACCTGTTTTCTATGTAAAGCAGCCATTTAAAATACAGTTATCTTGTTAGACATATGATCATGTTTGACCACTTCAATGTACCTACAACATGGTCTCCACACACATCTATGTGAGATCGTAGATCATAGATCCATAGGACCAAACCAATCGGCATTAGAATGGGGGCACCTCAAACTTTGGTGTCCCTCTAGCATCAATTAAATTACGTTTAATAACCTTTACCTACCCCCATATCTTTGCTCATGTATGAATGCATAATGTTTTTTTTTTCAAAAGTTACTAAATTATAATGTGGGTCTTTTAATATTCAACATAACTCCAATGTTCTAATCGTGATATCTAAAATGATGATATAAGCTACATTTGTCTTTCTTCTGTGGTCACAACACAGATTCAGATATAATTTACCGTTTACTTCAAAGTTAAACAACGCCCAAACCAAAGGGACTATGTTTTTAAAGAAATGCCTCATTCAGTTTTATCAGTATTTTCTTGTTTATTTTTTGTTTATTTTCTGTGAAAATGAAGCAGCTTTATAAATTGCATTACAGAAAAAGGCCTGCAAATCAATGACTCAGCCTCACTAAGAAGTAGATTTGTGGTTAAATTCTATAATATATAACTACATGAGCAAAATGATTATTCTCGCAGGACAAATCATATTAATTCTTCTTTTTTTTCCTCTCAACCATCCAACTCCCACTCTAGCAGCTCCATGTGCCATCTGCCCCCACCAACCCAATGGGAGCTCACCCGAGTCTGAGAACCATTCTCAGAGCTGAAGATAATTACCAGACGAATAACTACTCCTTTAACCTTTGAAGAAGGCCACGAGTGAATTAAAATGAAGTGTGGAGTTATTTGCCCTTGTTCTTTTAAGTGTAGAAAAGACACTTCCTTTTTAGTTTAAAGAAGTATGCTTAAAAGGTATATGAATAGCATCTCTTTAGGAACAACTTTCCATTTTGAGAGTTAATACCACAGCATGGACACAGAAATTTGGACAAAAGTGCCATGTTAGCTACAACATCCTATAATTCAGAGTTCCTGACACTGTCAATGCTGAAAAGCCAACCAAACTTTAACACAAACTGTGCAATATTTCCCGTGCACCTGAATCCACCTGTCTCCATCACACACAGTATCTTCAGTCTTACAGCTCCCCTTTTGCACTCCCATCCCTTTGCATCTTCCTTTCTCCATCAGACCATGACTTCCCACCCTCATTTGTCGTTTTATGATTCGAACATCTGACAACTTCCAGGACACGAGCAGTAAAATGCTTACTTATAGAAACACATCATTTTTCTATCATTTAAACTAAACCCTTGAATCCCACTCCGCCCCACCTTTGCTTTCACAGAGATGACTCACCAGCGCTGGGCATGGCTGTGCTGGAGCCCCTGTTGCCAGTCAGGAGCTCCAGAGGCTGGTGATGGCTGTCTGTGCTGGCAGATGAAAAACAGGACTCGGTCTCATAGATGGTCTGCAACATGGCGCACAATCCTGACACGGTGGGATGTAACAGCATGCCAAGACAAAAGCTGGTGCTTTAATTGGTTTGGGCAAAAAAATAAAACAAAGAAAAAAAAATAGAAAAAGAAAGCGTCAGCTCTTCTTCAGAAAACGCAGCATGGCTTAGTTTAGATGCGAGGTCCCAGGGACAGGAGAGAAAAACACTGGAACAGGAGGCTGCTGAAGTTAAATTCAGAAATGTCTTCTGCTTTTCAATTGTTTTAAAGCTGAAAGCTGCAGTTAATTCTATCCGAAAAAAATCTCCAGTGTTTCTATTGTCCAGTCTCAGGTAGTCTTTAGCTCTACAGCTTCTGTCACCTCGGACAAAATCCTCTCTGCTATCGTAGTCTCGGCAGCGGGTTCCAGGAAGTCTTCCCTCCGATGAGATTGAGGAATTGAGTAAATAAGGAGTAAATAAGGATCACCCCTAGTCTTGACTCATCCTCCTGAAATTGTCGCTTTGGCCAGTTATGTTTCACCAGGTATCCGGCCGTGTTTAAGATGGAGGAGGAAAGTTTGTTTCTTCTTGGTCGTTGGCAGCCAAACAGAAGCAGCAGAATCACAGTCAGGAGGGAGTTACTGCGTACAGCGCCGACAAGAGAGCTGCTCCAAGATCTGCAGCATGTTCGCCTCTTCCTGCTACCGACAACAAAAATACAGATGCAATACCCCGACTCCGGTGAATCAAAAGATCCTCTGGCTATTCTCCTCCTGACTAATAAGAGGGAGAAGAGAGGAGGAGGAGGCGTAAGATGAGGAGAAGCTGGGACGTAAATAGCTTTGGGAGAGCGCTCCCCGAGGTTCCATGTTTCTAAAATTAGAACCAAGCACTGAGAGAATGACAGGCAGAAGAAAATGGAAGGCAAGGGAAGAGGACAAGCAGCGGGTTTAGAATCCCCCTCAAAAAAGAACAGCAGGGAATTGCCTCCTAATATCCCGTTTTTGCTAAAGGAGTGGAGAGGTCTGTGCTGCTGGTTGGAGACTCGCATTCACTGCCTGAGAGTCACTGCCGATTGTGTGTGAGCGGGTGTGTGCGTCTGTGACGCTTTGAGCTGCTCAATGAATGGAGAAGGAGAGAAAGAGAGAGAGGGAGGGAGGAGGTGTGTGAGAGGGAGAGGGAGGCTGAAAGTAGATCACTGGGTGGGATGGAAGTTAGATGGGTGAGGAGAAAAGTCAACAGCAGCTCGTTTAATTTTGGCTAGCCTCAAAACACACACTCACACACGTACAGGACAGGATGGAACAAGGACACTCCTTCTACGTCCTGTCACCTTCAGAGGGAAGAGGACAAAATACTAACCCAGAAGATGGGGGGGTTGATCGAGGGATTGGGGATGAAAATAGCCAGCCAGAGTGGAGGAGGAGCCAAAGATAAAAATAGACAGGAACAGGGTGTGTGTGTATATATTCAGTGCTTTCATCTTTCCGCCTGCATTTCTCAGAGATCGTCCATCAATAACAGACCTGGAGGGGAGAGAGATCTTCTCAGTTTATGATGGCCAAACTTGAGCAGCATTACGCTGCTTACCCAAATCCATAAGTGTGAAAAAGTGTAAAAGCACCACAAATTGTGTTGCCGCAGAGAGATCCTCACAATTTGGGTTCACAGTGTCATCGGGAGAATTTCCTGAACAAATTCATATGTGACACCAAAATGCATCCCAGAACATTATCATGGCACCTGGGATATTCTGAGCAATGCTGGACACCTATTTTCCAAAAGAGAAATAACAATTATTGTTTTTATTAATTTAATTGACTAAAGGGTAAAGTTAACTGCTTGGGAGAAAGGACTTCACAAGCTACCAATGCAACTTTATAAATCTATTCAAATTAGTGTCAATAAGCAAAGCATTAAGTTTAACATGTTCAATACTTCAGCAGTAAAAAAGCACCATTTCACATCGAAAAACTGTGGCAATCACTTTGCCATCATCATGGTTATTATTAATTGAAACTGTGAGCTGCTATTTTTAGTGTTTGTTTGTTCCATTCAGCAGCTCATGCCGAGACCAAGGATTTGCGGGATGTTCCACTGTTTGAGTGTTTGAACAGGGAACATAGGGGTGTCTCCAGTGTTAAAGATACCCAAAAAACAAAACAAACAACAAAAACAAAACAATCTGGGCGTCAGGTAATTTCTTACCTTATGTCAACAGTAGTGTTCCAAGAACTTTTTGTCCTAAAATTCATTTCACTTTAATGTAACTCGTTTTCAGTGACTTAATACAGGAGAAAATTAGGCTTTTTTTGCCATCCTATATCACTGTGTAATGACTTGGATTGATTAGCTGCTTTTATATCAAGCACAACTCTGATTATCAATAAAAAAACACATCTTTGGGTCTTAAATGGTCCACTGGAAGCAGATGTGACTGACCAGACACCATACTGACATCTCAGTGCTCCAACATGCTAAACGCATCTGCTGAAGGTGGGTGTGTGTGCGCGCACGTGTGTGTGTGTACTGCAGCAATTCGGCGGATGACTCATCTCTGCGTTTCTATTTGAGGAGTATCAACCCCTGGAGTCACACTGCTATCTGTGTATTTGTGTGTGAGTGTAAATGTGTGCGTGCACGCTCTGACCGTAACTATGGCAACCATATTACAGTCAGTCAACTCGTCACACAGCTGAATCTGTCAAAAAATACCAAAAGAGGACTGATGCATGCGTCTGAAGTGAAGGTGGTGAAATGGTGTAAGCTGCTGGCTGTCAACTGACCGAGTTTATCCTTTACGTTCATGTTTAAATTCACACTGAACGCAGTGGGAAAAGACAAAGTTACATGCCAAAATCTGCATAATAACATCACTAATAACTAGCTGGACTGGGCAAATGGACCAAAACACTACAAAGCAAGGAAAAGTAATGATAAGGGGAAGGGTTGAGTTTATGCCAGTTCATACGGTACAGTGTCTCAACAACTATTTTTCTGTGACTAAGTTGCCAGTTTCCTTCAGATCATTAAAAACTCCTGGAGTAGTTTGAGTCTACTTCCCTTTTTCCACCTGACAAAAACCTTGCATAGAGCTCTAGACTAAGGGCAACTGATGGTCATGTTGTATCTTTTTCACTTTTGAATAATGGTGCCAATAGAACGCTACTCAAAAGATTCACATGAAAATATTTAAAAAACAACTTGGTTTCATTTATGAGAGAAAAGGAACATCTATATGTTTAAACATTTAACGACAAAATGTTTGCTTCCCCCACTCAGCATATCTTTGCCGTAATTTCGATGTAATGTGTTGATCCATTAATCTTCAGAAAAAATTCTGCTTATTAAACAACTTTTTATTCGTTACTGAGATGCAATGAATTACAAATGTGTGATTATAAAATGGATCTAGTCTGGACTGAGTGGCATCATAAAGACAAGTTTGTGGTCTTTAATTTGTCTGCTTCACAGTAATAGTTGAATTTTCAAGATGCTTCTTGATTATTGAAAGAATTAGAAGCACATGATAAATTTGGCTACTGCAAAAGCATAGAACTGTATAGAAATCTAACACAATCTTACAGAAATCTAACAAAATCATGTGATTTACCTTATTGTATGTCAAGCCAAAGATGATGGGAAATAATGCATTTTTAAAAAGTAAATAAATCAAAATCCATGTTGAAAATTGCAGATGGTGCATCAAGGAGTGCAGTCATGACAAGTGTTTAATGCTGAGTTGAAACAGCTGTAACTGTGAATCCAAACGGCTTTGCTGATGCCATTCCAAAGTCTGTGCACATAAATGAAACACATAAACACCAGTGCTCTTAGCACTAGTCAAAAGTATAAAGTGTTCATTCTCTTTTTTCTAACACCTGACAAACACAGTGAGAATATCCTTCAGCCGCTGAGAAGTTCAAGCTGCTGTTAGCTGCTGTGGAAACTTCGGTTAAGTTTGGTTAAGTTTAGGCTCAGACGGTTTTGGACAATAATAATTTCCAAACTAAATGAACGGTGATTGAACATTGTTGTTCTCCACGTAATTGTACTACTACTAAGCCCGAAACTCAAATCACAGATCATTGATCTGTGTCAGCCACTGATGCCATTTCTGGAGGGACTAGAAAATCAACCAAGTAAGCTTACCCCACGTTGGACAACCAAAATCCATGCAAAAAATACTAAATGAAGAAATTAACAGCATTCATATGTATCGAAGCTTTATTGAATCCTGCAAGAAAATCACCTGAGGATTCACCTGATGGAGTCATGAAGGCTGAACTTAGGCTTTCACTATGTTCAAGTGGGTCCTCTAAGTCGACAATGGCTTAAAGAACAGGAGGTGAGCAGACAGACCTTTTTTTACCTCTGCAAACAGTAAACACAAAAAAATATGCTGCGAAAACTGCCCCTTGCAAACTGCCCATAGAAACTAATTGTTTGCTCACTCTAGTTTATGTTTCGCTTGTCCTGTCCAGCATCAACGCAAGGGGAGTGGTTCTTTGACTGCCATAGTTATGCCAAACAAATTGGCTTTTTCAAGGGAGGTTTTATCCCTTGCTGCCCAACCCTTGATGACTCATCTATTGCTGGTGTGTTATATACAATCTGATGCCAAACATGACTGAAGGGGGGGGGGACACAGAAAGAAAGTAACAAAACCCAACAATCAGCTGTTACTAAATCCTCCTAAGGCATCCACAGAGAAACCGGACAGAGACAATCACAACCACCTGCAAAAAAATCACAGACAGCAACAAGACCAGCAGTAAGAACACCGAACAAAATTGTTGATACAAATGCACAAAACTACAGATCAGTGCAGATAACATATTATGAGTACTAGCAGGCACAAAATGGGATGCAAGTCTTAGATGAATTGTGCTCAGCCATGAGTGCAAATGGCCCACCCTTCAGGGGCTTGGAGGGAGCAGAGAGGCCCGCAAGACCCAGGACACCAGGAGACACCCACAGAGCAAAGAAGTCAGAGCAAAGAACAGCCCACCACAGGGACACCACACATTCACCCACAGGACAGCAGAGGAGGCGCGAGACAGAGCTCCTGCAGTCACAGAGCAGACCCTACCAGCCCTGCCAGGCCCAAGCCATCCAGCCATTGGCTAAGGCGTGGCCAGGGCCTGAATGCCTGAGCGCCACCAGCACAGGGCCCACCCGATACCCGGGAGAGATGCGTCCCAGTTGCCTCAGCGTAGCGCCCCAGGGCCCAATCTGGCCACAGGTGAGTGCAGTTGCGGGGAGCGAGGAGAGACAAGTTGGGGCAGACCCCAGTCTTACGTAACGTTTTTCTTACATCACAAAATTGCATTTTAAATCATACTTGTTTGGATTTTTGTTACAATATTCAAAATGATGCATCTTCAAATTGCACACCACAGCTTATTGCTTTGAAAAACCTCTGTTAATATTCCTTATTTGTTGTGTTACCGTCAGATTTAATGTGTGTCTTAATAAGACGTCAGGCCTTTGTGTTTCACATTCGAAAATCTAAAAACTTTAAAACTGTCTTTAATTTTTTTAATACTTTCTCTCTTTTCTGCCTTAAGACATTTGCATTTTAGCCATCCATGGTCAATACCACTTATTCCTAAGGGGGTTGCAGGAGGCTTTGAGCGAATTCCAACTGACACTGGGCAAAAGGCAAGGTATACCCTGAACTGCCAGTCCATCACAGAGCCACACAGAGACCAACAACCGTACACACTCCCATTTGATCCAATGGGCAATTTAGTGTGTTCAATTAATAAAAGGCCAAGAGAGAAAATGCTAATTTCACACAGAAAACAGTCCATGTTCCCCCTGGGAATTCAAACCACCAAACCACTGTACCTCCCACAGTTGTATTTAGCTTTTCAAATTGCATTTGGCCGTGTTTTTGTGTGGGGGGGATGCTTGTTTAATATACCTGAAAAGTGATTGAATCACCTCAATGCTGCTTAACCTGAGAGAAGCTATTTGGATGAGAGAAGTAAACCTATAGTTTTCAGTATTTTTATTTCATTTTCACAAATAAAACTGCTCAAAAATTGGCTTTGTATGGCGGGGAGCCATTATCAGAAGAAAAAAAATTGTTCATTATTTGCTTCAAC